GATCAGAATGAGCAGATTTAGTTTTGTCTGTTTCTTTGTTGTGTTTCTTTATATTCCACAGATGAGTGTAATCATCTGGTATCTGTCTTTCTCTGACTTAATTTGCATTGCATAACCCTCTGCAGTGATCCATGTTGTTAACAGAAACTGGACTGAAGAATTGAGGATACCAAAGGGGAAAAGAGGTGTGGAGCCCAGGGGGTGGGCAATAGACTGTGGTGGAGAACTCTAGGTGCTGTGGTGGGGGGTGCTGTGGTGACATGTATCTGAAGAGGTATGAGAGACTCTACCCCTAAATCGTATACAGTGTTGTAAACCAATGATACCTCATAAAATAATAATAAATATAAACATCTAAAACAAGCAAAAAGAACATTGGTGAATGAGTAATGGGGGTAGTCCTTCAGCCTGGAATTTCTGTGCGTAGGGTTTGTTAGACTGTTCACTGGTGGCTTTTCACACTGTCCAGTGGAGATGAGTCATCCAGCAGGTTCAGTACAAGAAACTTGGCAGGTTGAGACCAGCTCCTTGCTGTCCCCACTTTTTTTAGCTGATCTGTCACCCTTGTGGTTTGCTCTTCCATGAGATATGCTCCACAAAGAGAAGATTCCAATATTATAAGCACTTTGATTACCTACCTGTGCCCAAGCATAGGCAATCTGGTGGACTATTTGTAATCCACTTCTAATTTGCAACCAACCTATGCTCTCCTCTATAAGCTTTACAAATAATAATACCAGTGTTCTCTCCATTTGTCATTTTTTTCTTTTCAGTTTTCATTTTGTGGGGAAAAAGGGATGTCATCAATTTCCCTTCTAATGCTCCATTTTTTTTTTCTCTCTACGGGCCATCCATCACTGAGAGATGAATGTAAGATTGCAGACTTAACTTTGAACTCCATAAGTCACATTAATTTGGTTCATAAGAAGAAATGAGTTCATTATCAAAATTAATACTTAGAAATAGGTATTAAAGGAATGTTTTGTGTTCAGTAGTTACATGATTTAACAATTCAATAAGTATTTGTCCTACATATTATAAAGTCAGCACTTTATCTAATGGTTAGAACAATTACGATTCATTAACATTTTATTTTGCTATATTCTGTTGTCAAGGCAACCTTTCATTCTCAATTACTAAGCAGTAGAAAAAATTACAGTTTCTCATTTAAATAATTGGTCTTGTAATATACATTTTTAAAAGCTGTCTTTGTTTTCCAACCTTTGACTATTAATTATATACCACAGTTAAAAAGAATACAAGATTTAATTTAATTTTAATGCTATGTAAAAGGGAATCTGTATTTCAAACATATCAAAAACTTTTATGAAGAAAACTCTTCTAAAACTATTTACTTAGAATGATTGTAAGTTTAACAGCACTATAAGTAAACATGTTATAATGTTGTATAAGTTTTTTAATAAGATAGAATTTTAGAGTAGGAGAGAAACTTACAAATAATGCATTTCTCCAATGCAGAATTACTACATAACCAGCAATGATAAACTGTTCTACATTTTTGCACTAAACTTAGTATTTCGGGGTCATTACTAGTACCAGTCTTTTTCATGTTCCATTTATTAGGTAGTTAACTGGTATAATTCATTAACAATTTATTTCTGAATTACTTCTCCAAATATTTTTAAATGTCCATTAAGTGCTGTGAAGTAGAGCTAAAGATTTGAGTAGGGCAAATATTCCACAATTCTTGTGTTATCCTGGAGCTTAGAGACATCCTTTTCATCCTCTTCTGGAAAAGAAAGCAAATTCCAGTGATGGAGAGAAGTAAAAGTGAGAGCATTTGGCATTTGAAAAATCTCTGTTCAACCTTTATTTTAAGCTTTCATATTTATTTGGTATATTTTTAGATAGGATCACATTTTTCTTATAAAATCATCAAAAAATAGGAAGCTGCATAGTTTCAAAAGTTCCCATTTATTCCACTTCTCACTTCCAACAGCAGTTTTTATGTATCCTACTAAGTATTTAAAAATTAAGAAAAATAAATTTTAAGATCACAATACAGCGAGAAACTGCGACTTCTCAATTTTTAAGATAAATATGTATTTAAGAACTATTTCCTTGTCAATTTGTATTGCACTACTTCATTATTTTTAACTCCTGTACAGGATACTACACTGCACTGGTGTGGTAGTGTCTTTAGCTCCTGTTGGAATGGCCATGTACATTTCTCCAATGGTTTAGTATTACAAATAATGCCGCAGGGAATGTGGCTGTACTGGTCTTTTTGTATGCATTTCAAGCAGTTGCCTAGAAAAAGTCTTGTTAGATCAAATTATAAGCATACTTTGGTGGGACTATGGTGTAGTTGTGCAATGGGTGCATAGATTCAGTTGTGCTAGATGAATGCATTCTAGAGATCTGCTGTGTGAATAGTGCCTACAGTTAACCATACAGCTTTGTGAACTGCAAAATTTGGTAAGAGAGTAAATGTACTAAATGTACTTATCTCTTTCTCTCTCTCTCTCTCCTGTCTCACACACACACACACACACACACACACACACACACACAGGAGTTAGGAAAAAAACATCATGAATTACATTTTTTGGTCTTTTTGTCAATATGACATTAATTTTTCTAGCTCAAGATTTTCTAATTAAATATCAATTTATATGCAAGTGTATTTCTGGATTCTTTATTTAAGTATATCAGTCTTGTGCTGATGCCATATTTTAAAATTGTTTCTTATAATGTATTTTAGTAACTGGTTGGGAATCTTTGTAATAGTCTTTATGGGGGGGGGTTCTATTTACCAATTTTTTCTCAAGGATAAAAGTTGAAAAATAATTTGTAAAACAGTAAGAAAATGAAAACTCATGAAACATTTTTAATGTATAAAGAATTATTACTAGTTTCAAAGGAACCTGAATAAAAATCCAGTAGATCTTTTTGGATAGAAATTGATAAACTGATTGAAAATACTATGTGGAAATATAAAGTGCCTAGAGGAGCACAGACAAATTTCAAAATGAGCAAAAATGGAAACCTTACATTGCCTTGACTAGTTTTAACATTGGTAAGATCAATATAGAGAAAATAGATCAACGGAACAAAATGGAGAGTTTAGATTGATTTGTGCATGTATGGCCATTTGACAAAGGTGCTAAGATAATTCAATGGAGAAAGATAATAATGTTTTCAATAAACATGGAAACAGTTGTATACATTTTGGGAAGAAAAATGACATTTTATCCTTACTTGATCCCATCCACAAAAGGAATTAGTTTATGATGGATCATAGACGTAAGCATAACATGTGGAAACATAAAACTTTCCAAAACACATAGAACACTTTATCTACAAATCTGGGGTAAATAAAGATTTATTGGATGAGACTTTTCAATTAATAATTTCTGTACTTGGAGAGATACAGTTAATAAATAACAAAGTCACAGAACTAGATGTAACATTTGTTATGAATATATTTGTCAAAATTTGTATCCACAGAATATGCAGAGTTCTTACAACTCAAGAGCAGAAACCCAATTTCTTAAAATCAGGCAAAATATTAGAACAGAAAATTGATGACACCAGATATACAAATGATAAGCTTTCATTATTCTTCAGGGAAATTTAAATTAAACCAGGAGACAATGCTTTTGAATGAGTAGGAGGGCTAAAATCAGGATGATAGGAAGGGGATTGTTGTGACAGTCTCTTAGAAGACCCCCATGGCTCCCACCTTCCAGAGTCTATGCCCTTGAATAGCTCCCCAGCTTTAGAGAACTTCTGTCTAATCAGTAGATTGTGGCAACTTTTGCCTGCTGTAATTTTTATGATCAGGTTACAAAAATTCTAATTTCTGTTTTGCTAGCTCACACTCTCTCACTGGCTTTGTTTAAACATGCTACTTGTTTGGAGAAGCCACATGACATAGAATGGAGGGCAGTTTCCAGTCAATGACCAGTGGGAAAATGAGGTCTCCAGTCCAGCAGTCCTCAAAGAACTGGTCCCTACTACTCGCAGCAGAAGTGATGTTGGCACTGAATTATCCACGGTTGAATCTGGTCCTTGGAAAAGAAGTGTTGGTGCCAGCCAATTCTGGAATGTGGGGCTATGGCTATACTCCCCTGGGGCTCTTAAGGGGACCCTTTTCTATCCCTAACACTTTCAGCCATTTTCACTATCACTTAGGTTTAGGTAGAAATTAAGGAATTTGATAGGCATCTTAACTTCAATGAGAAGCAACCATTTAAAGTCACTGAGTGGAATTTCAGAGAATAGATGCACAAAGTGGCGAGATGTGTAGTTTAGACAGAAGGAAAGACAAATGATTCACATTTGGGATATTAAGAGAGAAGTCAAATTGATTTATTACAAAATTTTAGTGTTTCAATATGAATCTATTTCTCTGAATGCCCCTCTGTGCTAATACTGAGATGCCTTGTAAGAATTGCTGTTTCCAAAAGGAAATTCAAATTTGAAATATATATAAATAGGTTTGTGAAACTTCAAAGTTCGCAGTGAAGCAAAAATGCAATGAATTCTAGGAATTTGATGTGCCTTTAAATTTTCCATTCTGGATATTATGTCTATGGAAATCTAACAGACTGAACAATTCAATCTTGACTTATTTAATTTGCATTATATCTTACATCCAAACATCAGGGCATAGGATACCTTTATAAATAATTTCATAAACTCTCCTTCCACGGATCTTTTGATGTGATGGACTATGTGAGTTCCACATTCATTTACAATGAAATACCTTCCTGTTTCCAGTTACATTTCTACCTCTTTTGGCTTTAGTCACTTTCCTCATTTTTAGCAAAGAATATTCCTTCTTAGGCTCACAATGTTACATCATTTTCTCATATGCATAAGAATATTTCCATAAATGTCAAGCAAAGAACGGATAGAAAGAGAGGATAGGTATACCATGTATATTAATTCTGCTGCCGTTAGTCTCAGTTGATTGCCCCAAGTTCTTTAAGCTGAAGGGACTCATTTCTACCTTATTTATTATCTGGCAAAAGGTTTAAAAACAATCTTAGTTCCTGATGCAGTCTGAAATCCAGCAGCATATATCAGTGGATGACTCCCCCATGCCCTCCTAAACATCAAAAAGAAAAGCCAACAGAGCAGGAAATTCAGGTGAATACTCACTGTGCCTGGGTGTAGATTTGCGTGGATTTGTTCAATGCTTATGTCCACTTTGCAGGCAACCATTCCACAACCCCTCTTTTTTGCCTTTCTAGTTTGTTGATGTGGTTAAATGATTTAGATTTAGCTTATACTTGCTTACTCTCAAGACTATACCCCACTTTGTGTGAGTACATATTTGGGTAATTTTATTCTGTTTAAAAATGGTTTTATAAACAAAAGCGATATCATTTCTGTTTGAATCATTGTGATTATGAATTTTAAGCAGTTTGAAATGAAATGTCCTTAGTAATTTACTTTCTGACTCATTCATCTAGCTCCAGCCATTTCTAGCAACTTTCCCCATGGGTTCCATTGCACTCTGCTCTTTGCCTTAGAAGATGTTTTGTTCAAGATGGTAAGTGCTTGGCTTCCTGTAAGGCTGAGTGTCCTTGAAGTCAGAGGCTGTGACAAATAAAACTGAACAGCTAACCCTAGCAATTGGGGTCTCAGTGGCTGGAAAATTGGGCAATTGATAGTATCAGTTAAAACTTCCCTTTTAGTGCAGGGTAATTATTTTTCTAACATGAGACATGTAAATGCATCTTATTCAATTTCAGGCAGACAGTCTCTTCCTTTAATTAAATAGCTAGCACTGCAATATAAAAAGAAACAGAGAATAAATATTTGGGGCATAATGAGCATCCCAGATGGGTGTCTGAAAATAAGATACGTAATTCTTAAGTAAGTGATTTATGTGGTGATTTGAAATATGTACTCAAGAGATAGAGTGATGGACGCTTCTATTATAGAGTTATTAATTTCTCAATTAATGTGGCCAATTATAAAATCACTTTTCATTTTTATTGATCTTCCCCCGTGGTTACTAATTGAATATAGAATTCTTTGAGAAACAGAATTATGTGAAGTGTGATTGTTCACACAATAAATGCATTTTTACAAAACACCTTAAATATTGCTCTATCATTTTATGAGAAAATTAGACCCTTACATGAAAAAAAACTGGGAAAATGGCAATGCAGGTTCATTTCACTGCTAATTTATTCTCTGGCAAGTTGGGGACTACTGAGAAGATACACTTTTCATAATTGAACCAGAATATAATTGTTAGGTTTTAATTCATGTTTCCTCAGTTTTGAAAACATAACCATAATCTGTGATTTTTTGTGAATTTATACAGTATTTACATAATAGAAAACTTTAGTAGAAAGTTTTCCATTGTTCATTCCACTTAGTAACTGCTCTCCTTTGACAAACAGCTCTGTGACTTCGATAACTGTGTGGATAACTCGTGAAATCATCCTTCAATTCTTTAGCCTTTCTAATTTTTCCTTTACCAAAGGACAATTTAGTCCTTTAATGTCAATGGTTCCTAAGCATTCCGCTGAGAGGAAGCTCTATATTCCTGACCTGCTCCCATCTCTTCAATGCAGTGGGTGTTTTTAATTTTCCACTCTAAAATTATGTTGCATCACTTACTCTTAAAAATGCTTGTCCTTAGGAAATATTCTGAATGTGGCTTTATGAAAGGAGATGTCTCTGCATTTCAAAATGTTATGCATCCTCTTGATTCTTTCTCCATAGGTTTTGCCTTTTATGTATCGGTCCCAGGAGGAAGACAGTATCCAGGTCTCCAAGGAAAGCAACTTGAAATTCCGACCCACAAACACTGCATTTTGAGTGAAAGTGGAATTGTAAGTAGCATTAGACATGCATATTAACACTAATTTAAACTGTACAGGTTGTTCCTGAAATACTTGACTTTTTAAAAAGGTCACTGTACGGCAGGATCGCAATTCGAAACACGTATTTCCATAAAATATAACGAACCAAATTGTCTATATTTTATGTACTGCTCGTGTTTTCACATCAGCCCACAAAACTTACTTTCCTAATAATGTATCTAAACGAGTGTACTCACATTACTAGATGGGATTTATCAAAAGTGAATAGTATGAGGTAGAGAAACCTCTCACTTTTTATTGCTAGTCGTAGAAACATTTTATTTTACTGTAACTTCTTATATCTTTTTTTATTAAGGTAACTGGCTTACAACACATTTTACCTATTTCAGTACTCCTGTCTGATATCCCAGTTTTTCCTCTTCCAATACCCCAAAGACTATACCTACGTCTTTGCTCCAAATGTGTTTCCCTGTACGTTGACCTTAAAATGATAGCTAATGTGTTGATCTCAACTTGTCAATTGGCTTCTACTGTCCTCAGCTTATCAGGAGAGAAATTTTAACATTACCTTGAATGTATCTAGAAACTGTCCATAGCGGAATTCTGTTGAATCACAAAATAAACCATATCAGCCCATTTGAGTAAATTAACTTTAGTATTTTTATACTGAGGGATAACAGACAAGCAGCCGAAGGCATCCAGCGTGCAGGTCTGGCACGCGCAGGGTGATGAGTTTACATCTGTACGCACACGCAGACACAGGGCTAACTACGACCAGACTGAGGTACAGAACATACCCAGGGTCAGATAAAAGTCCCTCATGTACTTTCTGGTCTATACAACTGTTGTCCACAAACAAAAGCAATCAGTTATTTTAACAACAAAATGGGTTTATGTAGAAACAACAGGGAAGAGGGTGCACTTGCCCAAGCCCCAGGCTAACAGCCCACCGTGCGCCTGCTGGGCCACCACCTCCTCAGTGGAAGAAATAGCATCTCTTCCTGGCATGCTGGGTCCTGGAATTTGCTGATCTCTATGTGCTTGGGCATTGTTCAGCCTCTGGACCTCATTTCAATAGGGTTTTGTGTATTAATGTTCAATACACGCACACGTGCACACAAGCACGCAGACAGGACCTGCTATTCTGACGTTCTGACTTACATGTTTTATTACATTGTCTGTGCTTGAATGGTTCTTGTACAAACATTCCAGAGGCATTTGAAATTACATTTCTTCTTCAGGGGTGTCTGAGACACCCAGTTTTGACCGATATGGTTCTGCTACTATGAGTACAAGTCCTTATGTGGATAGATACACCCTTTCATGTGCAAGTCTTTCTGGAAATAAATACACTCATTTATTTAAGGGTGAAATTGGTAGGTCATACAACAGGGCTATATTTCACTTTATTAGAAACCTGAGAGCTATTTTTCCAGTATAGTAATATTGCTTTACAGCCCAGTAAGATATGCAAGAGAGATTTTGTTTGGTTCTACATCGTTGCTGTTATTTGGCATTGTTATCATTTTAGGTACTTTGTTGGGTGTAGTGAAATTGTACTTTTTTGCTTGAGAGAGGGCATGAAAATAACAGTAGTTTTACTACATGCATGCAAAATGAAAGCGTTCCTGAGTGTTGAACACTCAATGTGCTTATATTTTGCATTATCATTATTCTTCGAGTTATCTTTATTCTTCCTGTTTTTCATATATTTGATTTTTTTTCTACATACATTTGTGGTCAGGAATTTTCTTATAATTAATGATATTTACCACTATTCCCACTCAGCAGGTCATTATTTTATGATTCTCATTGCTTATGTGCAATAATGAACTTGGACTAAGCTGTTCATATTGTCATCTCTTCAGTTAAAGTACATACAGTAAGTTTAATTGCCTTTTGAAATATTTTTTTAAGAATATTACACTATGACTTGATCCTAAAGAAAAGTTACTATGTATAGGAAAGAGCACAGAAATTGTGCAGTGGACAGATTTTTAGTAACACAAATATTCACTATAGGAGGAATATCTTCAATTGTCTTCACTTGGGGGGGGCATGCAACTTCTAATTTATTTGGTTTGTATTTTAATTTATCATTTGTGAATGAAAGAGATAAATGATAAAAATGTTTAAATAATTCTAAAAACAACTCTTCTGATGAGAACAAAATTAAAACTCTAAATTAGGAAGCATTGTCATAGTTTGTCATGTTTTTCTTGTTATGCTCCATAAAATAATGTTGCTCTGGAAAAATAAATGGCCTCTTAAATTCAATGAATGACAGCACTGCAGTCTGCTCTTAGAATCTGTTTATGCTCTTCAGTGCTCTGTGCATTTTCCCACCTCCTCCCCCCAGGACCACTTTGGGCTGGTGTCTTGGCAAAGAAATGTGAGCTCTCCATCTGGGAATGAGTGCCTATCTATTTTCTAGATAGAGGTCATTTAGCGAGTTGAAGACTGTCTGCAAGGAGCATTTAGAGAATGAAAAATTGGAGGAAATGGAAAACCTAATGGCAATCATTACTATTTGCTGTTTTTCTGGATTCATCCTGCCCATTTTTGGTGATTGTTTCACTTACTAGTGCAGCCTAATCTTGCTGACTTCAACTGTCTCAGCTGTCTGTAGTTGGGACTTACAACAGCAAGTCATCAAATCTCACCTTATTTTCAGAGGCATTTTGAAAATACATTGCTAATTTTTCTACTCCTTTGCCATGGTTCTCATTTTTCTCCTTCTGTTGGCCCATGGAGCCTGCACTTCCTATGTGTTTTTCACAGTTGGCCACATCTCCCTCTCTCACTCCATTCTGCCTGCTGTTTACCTGCACCAGACCTGGGGTGGTCACCAGGCAGCCTAATATTAATAAGTCCCCAATTTTAGTATGAAGGTAAGTGATGGAAACAGCTTGACTTGTTTCATTGCACACAGAACAATTGAGAGCACAATCTAGTTTAGCACTGGATTTTGTTTTCTTGAAGATAAGGACCCATCAGTCCAGAGACGAAGTCGCACAGTATTTCCCAAGAAGTCAAAGATATCACTTTCAAAAAAGTAAATTAGCATATGATGTACCTCATCATTGTTCGTTGGTGAATAATTTACAACAGAATACATTTGACCTTTATTTTTTTAAAGATTTTATTTATTTATACAAGAGCTGGGGTACAGGCCAGAGGTGCGGGAGGGTGAGAGGATTCACCAGAAACAGAGTGGGGAACAGAACAGGCAGATTGACTGAAATACACTGCTGAGGGGAGCAGCGGGGAGACAGGGGAGGTCTGCTGCACCATGTGGGATTCTTGCCGGCCGGCCAGGATCGAACCTGTGCTGCAGAGGCTGCAGACAGCTTCACAACTCTGTGCTCAACCTGCTGCGCCACCGGGGAGGCCCTACATTTGACCTTTAATAATATATACTGAGGGTGCATTTTATACATAAACTTCAAAATTAATCGACACCTAATATACAGGGTTGTGTGAACAGGCAGGGAAGACAGAACAGATGAGCCTTTAGCTTTTCTTGTCCATTTCTTCCACCTGTGTATTTTCTTCTAAGTAATATCTTTTTAATACTGAAATGTCTATTTTTTGGATATTCCATATAATCTTGATATAACATACTAGTTTGAAATATAGGTTGCAATTTACATAAGTCTAGGATGATCATGAATGACAATTTCATGTGTTTCAATGTAGTCCGTAGGAGACAAGGAAGCAGGATGGAGCCAGGAGACCTGGAGGAGGCACATGGAGCCGAGAGACACGTGAAGAAACTGTGCTTGCCTTTTGGTTGTGGACTGGGTGACACAGATGTAGTGGCTGCAGAATTAATAGAGTTTACTGACTGACAGTGAGAAAACCAAGTGGAGCTAACTTCAAAAAAATAAATTAATATCAAGATTCAGCTTTGTATAATCAGAGATCCAAGAGTCAAGAAGATAGCCTACGGGTCTCCCTGGTGGTGCAAGGGGTTAAGATGCAACCTAAGAAGCTATCACTAGCCAATGCCACATGAGTTCAATCCCCAGCCAGGGAGAAGCCCACATGGTGTAGCAGACTCTCCTGACTCGCCCACTGCTCCCCTCAGCAGTATATTTCAGTCAGTCTGCCTGTTCTGCTCCCCATTCTGTCTCTGGTAAATTCTCTTACTCTCCCATACATCTGACCTGTACCCTGGATCTTGCATGCATGAATTAATAAATCTTTAAAAAAAAAAAAAAAGTGTACCTCCAACAAAGGATATATACCAACATTTTAATTATGATAGTGAATAAAAAATAAAGACTATTTACAGCTCAAGTTGCTATCTAATTATCAAATTTCATTTTCATAATACAAATATATATATATCAGACATGTATATCAGACATATGATATATATCATACCTGTGACTTATTAGTAATTGGTGTAAATATCTTTAAGGTAAAAAATTATTTTTAGTTGAGAAAATAATGCTGTCAGAGTTGAGTATCTGTAACAGGAGAAATCTCACTTAACTCTCCAAAACTTATTTTCCTATCATTAAAATGATGATCCCTGCCTCCTTCACAGAGATGTTGAGCATAGATTGATGGGGTCAACAAAAGGAAATACATTTGAGAAATGCTGTCTACTCAATAGGGTATTATGCTTGTATTTTTTCCTCTTACAATTGATCTAAAGACGTTCAATACATTTGTGATTTTTTTTCCCTTTTCTATTACTTAGAGAAAACATTTGAAGCCTGAAGAAAGAAATCAACGCCAGACACTTGATCTCCCAGCTGACCAGGGGAGATGTGGCCGATCCCTCAGAATGGAGTCTGCCTCTCCTGCCCGGATGGCTCTTTTCTGCCTGATTTTTGTGTACAGGAGAGAAATGCCAAGGAGACATATTTCTGGATAATGAGTCCATCCTCTGAGGATAGGAAGAAGGGAGATGGGAGCAAATTTCTAACAGAATGCAGGCAGCGGAGGACAGAGAATCTCGCCAACATATGTGTGGACGTGATGCACCACCTCCATTTGTTTTGTGGAAATTGAAGTTAGGAAAAAGTTTGTCACTCTGGCTGGGACCTCAGCTATGTACTAGGCTTGTATTGTCAATACCTGGCGACAACTCGGACCATGTGGATACAACCAAATGGAGAGACAGCAGGTCTGGATTAAACAATGCAGTCTGGAAAATCATTCTTTCCAACAAGACCTCAGTGCAAGCACAACCTCTGTTGTGAAGTGAGACACTCCAAAAGGGAGGTGAACGGTTCTTACTGTGGATTCTTGTTAGTCCTCACCAAAACTCTATGGTCGTCATGATTTGGTGCTATTAAGATTCTATTTTCAAAACTGTGTAAACCCAATCTCAGAGTAATAAGTACATTTCTTAAGATGATTGATGCAGTGAGTTAAACCCCAACTCCAGAGTCAGACCCCCTAACCCTTTGTCAGGCTGCTTCTCCTTCCCATGTCCCCACACTGTCCCCTCCACCCTTGTGATTTTAGTGTACAATGCTACATTCCTAGTGTTTCCTCTCCTGCCCATAAGACCTAATCCCCTGAGAATAGCCGGAGGCAGCCCTCGTGGAGGCCAGCCAAGGAAGCTGGGAGAAACACTTCTGTGACCCCTAGCCTTGTGGGAGGGCAGCCTCTCCTGGGGAACAGAGCTGCCTCAGTGCAGCCAGCCCAGCCCACATGGGACAAGCAGAGAGGACCAGATGGGCAGGGAATCACTTGGGAACAGTTGCAAGACCTGCTGCTGCCTCACCTATGGCTGTAAAGGACAAGCAGTCCTAGCAGGAAGGTAACTGACAATACAGTTAGCCATGGTGACCCTTGAAACACACATGGATTGTCCCCAATTAATAATCAGTTGACCCTTTACTCCCCACACTTGCTACTGCAAATGTATTTTATCTCCCTTATGATATTTAAATAACATTTTCTTTTTATTTATTTTATGTTGTTGTAAAAATACAGCATAGAATACGTATAATAAACATGACTGTGTCCTCTGTGAGGTGTCAGATTGGCAGCGGGCTATTGGTAACTAAGTTTTGGTGGGAGTCAAATATTATACCCAGATTTTTGATGTTAGGTGGACTGGACACCCCACACCCTGAGTTGTTCTGGGATCAACTTTATTGAAGAATAAAGAACAAGAAAGAGGAAGAGGGTGGAGGGCAGGAGACAGAGACTACATGGCTTGTAAATTTCTAATGAAAAATGAACTCAAAAAAGATAAAAATGGCAAACTACTAAAAATAAAATCAGATATGTATTGTGGATTTTATATTCTCGTTTTAGATGACTTGATAACCTATTGACCAAACTGAGATATAAAATATATTTAGTGTTCAAAAACATTTTTTTCAATTCTTGACCATTAACAGGTCAAAAATACTAAACAATATTTCTGTTTATTATTAAATTTTGTATTAACTCAAAACTCCTTACTTCCAGCAGGAGAGTTCCATGACTTCCCTCTGCAACTGAGGCGTATTCGGTATAACAAAAGCTACTCTTTTAAATGTGACAATTCACAAAAGGGCATTACAAGATTGAGATCCTGTGTGTAAAAGTGTTTTCAACTTGTTCTGGAAGAAGAATGAATTTCTTGGCTGCGATAGTTGTTCCCAGGAACTATCACTTTTCTTGGCTGTTAAATGTATCTAACTGATTTGTGTCACCAAGTGTAAGTCATCCAAAGCCATAACAAAGATCACAGTACATGGTAAGCTTGATTGGAGCTATTATTTCCCCCCCCTCTGGGGATGAACCCATAACAGGTGCCTTGCTCCTAAGACATTTTCAGTCACCCCCTTTTGCCAGGAAGGTCACAGATTTCATTTTACTTATCAAACGATTTTCAGCTGGAAGGATTTTGATCCCAAATCTGCCGGACCTTCAGGAATGTTGTCTTAGATTGCATTTTAGTTTTGTTTCTCCAATGTGGTACTCAGATATTTTGTAAACTGTTATGTTTTTTATTTATTGGATAACTTTTAGGTAATAGAAGTATACAATTTTATAGGGATAGCTCCTTGCCTCAATTCTTACCTACATTCACTCCTCTGCTTACTTTTCATTCTGATACTCAATTTGTGGTGGGAAGCTTGCCTAGATTCAAAGCTTAGGTATTACTTACAAAATTATTAGCTAAAAATCTCCTCAATTTCTCTCCAATGCTAACTACCACTGTATGCTAAAATTTCTTCAAGCTAGCACCTGTTTGTTATAGAGCTAACATAGTTATGGAGTTAATCCATATATTGTATTTGATATAAGACAAGATCCAACATCTTTTAAATAGAGTAAGAAAATAAACATTTATGACCATATGTTTGATGATTAGATTCAGATATTTACTGACCATACAAAACATTTCAATGAGCAACTTCTATATTCCTGTCACCTGTCTAGGGGGGTCAAGATTCAACAATAGGCACAAGAGATAAAAATCCTTGCCTTCATTGTTTAGTGACAGAAGAATTGGCTTTTGTAAAATTCAAGGGATTGTGAGATGCTTGTAATATGCCTTCTTGGACCAAAACCAGATATTAAGATATAATTAAACTAAGACTGCAGAAAACAAAATAATCTAGTCAGATTCATGAAGAACAAAGAAGATAAGAAGGAATGAGTTCATTCCCTTTCACCTTTACCCCCATCTGCATGCAGCCATGGTATCTGATCCAGAAAAATAAAATATCACAAAACAAGTAGAAAATTGCAGATGGCACACCAAGAGAGGACAATAGGGCATGGAAATTAAAAATATCACATGATAACATTTCTCCAAAGCCACAAATTGTTATAGATACACCTTGTGAAGGGGAGGTGCGGTATCCTGCCTCCACTTACAGGCAGCCTCCTTGGACTGCAGTGCTCAGGGGGACAGGGGTTTGCTGGGGACTGTGGGTGGAGTTAGACACCAATGCTTGGTGTGTAACCGAATGCATGTGGGCTCAGATTTCCCCTCTCGCTTTTCTGGTTTCAACTTGTACCCAGAGACTTGTAGCAGATACAGAGAGGAGAGACATGTAGAATCTCTTGGAAGAGGTACTTAGAAAAAACATGTGGGTGAGAGAGATGTGGGGATGCTGCCCTTGGCAGAAGTCCCACTAGAAGTTACCTGAGGCTTGTGACATGCTATCAGGCCTCAGATGCTCCACTTTGCAGCAACCCCATTGGCTGGATATTTGCCAAACAAGGGGATGGTTTATTTTGGATGTTTTATTGGGAAAGTATTATCCTGCCTTTCTTCTCTCTCTCTCTCTCTCTCTCTCTCTCTCTCTGAACACACTAATCCTATTAAAGGTCTTTCACACTAAGAGTCCACTTGGCTTTTGTGTGGTGCATGGGTGGACACCTGTTAGAGAGTGCACCTCTTTAGAGTTTGGGGTCCTTGGGTGCCCCTCACTCATACACTAACACAATCACAAAAGAGAAAAATTAAACACACCCTCTCAATCCAAATAAATACCTTATTTAAGCTACTGCAGTTATAAAATCTTTATTCAGAAATATAACACATCTCAGAAAATAGTGAAACCAAATGAAGCAAACAAAAAAAAAAAATCAGGGAGACATTAAATAAGAATTAAACAAACTAAAAAAATAACTGAAGAAAATGAAAAAGAGATCAGTTTTGGATTAAAATACAAAATAATCAAAGGGAGATTAGATTGGCCAAAAAAATATAACAAAGACATAAAAAAAAAAAAACCTATTAAAGGTACTACAAATTTTTAAATGATTTAAAATCAGAAAACATCTATCCAGAGGATAAGGGGAAAATCCATTATATTGTTAATGGAACTCAGAAGAAGAAAAAATTGTGCTACATAAATATTTAACTGAAGACCTGAGTTTATTTTTTTTAAGATTTATATTTTTATTTATACAAGAACTGGGGTACAGACCAGAGGCGCTGGAGTGCGGGAGGATTCACCAGAGACAGAGTGGGGAGCAGAACAGGCAGATCCACTGAAATACACTGCTGAGGGGAGCAGCGGGGAGACAGGAGAGGTCTGCCTCGCCGCCATGTGGGAATCTCCCTGGAGGGCTGGAAATTGAACCCACGTTGCAGAGGCTGCGGACAGTTTCACAGAGCAGTGCTCAACCCACTGCAACACTGGGGAGGCCCCTGAGTTTATTTTTAAAGGGCCACTATGGACCTGGAAAAACTGATCTAGAGCTTTCAAGGTCATAGTAAGACATATTCTGATTAAATTATTTGATATTAACACTAAATGAAGAGTATTTTCAATGCCATATATAAGAGAAAACATCAGCGACAAAAGTCAAGTTGGTATTGCACTTAAATGAAATATACAAATTAAGAGGTTCTTCTGATAGGGGGAAGTGATGTCCTGAGCTAATCCCATACAGGCTTTGTGGACTCCACCCCCACTCCAGACTAAAGCCATCAAGACTCTGGGAAAGACAAATCCCATCACCACCAAGGGAGGGTGGCTGGGACCTGAGGGTGGAGTTGGGCAGCCAGGTTGGATATGAAAAACCAAACACGTGGGCCTTGGGCGCTCTCTGGCTCGCGATCGCTCGCCTCCTGGCTTCACGGCTCCTGGCTGGCGGCCAGCTCTCAGAGCGCCATTTTGGGATTCCTGATCGGCGGATCGGGTAGGACGCATTTAAAACTTTGTCTCCCACTTTTCTCCCAGAGCTGTCCATTTCCTCATTTCCCCTTCCCTTTGTAAACAAACCTTTTATGAACCTTTCACGTGGGCCTGCAGTAGAGCATTGATACGTCCTTTTAAGCGCGCGGGTGAGGACCCACAGTCAGGCACCCCGTTTTGTATCGGGGTTGCTCTACAACACTTCCATGTTTTCAGTAAGAGAAAAGGTGGTCTGAAGAAATATTTTATTACCAGCCAAGCTGTGATTCAAAATTCAAAGCCATAGAAAAGTTTCAGTATGCAAAAATTCATGGGATTAGATATAATTTTTGATTTAATACCAAAACAAATATGTGGATTTCTGTGTGGAAAATATAGTATTGTAACAACATGGAAATATTGCAATGTATAAACTAATAAATGTGGTTAGCAAAAAGAGAGAATAATACCTTTTTTTTTTCTCATTGTGATAGTTCTTGAGTCATAGGGGAGAAAAAATAACTCTCTCTGCATTTTGTAGGGGAGCAAAGATCTTTCAACCCAAAATATGTGTTTACAAAAGACTGACCTTATGGGAGGGGCTCTGAAGGCTGAGTGGAGGTTGCTTTTGAAAGCTATTTAAATGTAAACTTCTCTCTACAATCTCCCGGAAAGACCTAATCGCTTTTTATCTCTTTGCTATGGAATTGTAGAACTTAGGAAAGACCTAATCGCTTTTTATCTCTTTGCTATGGAATTGTAGAACTTAGGTATGCACTGTTTTTGTCAACTGTGTCTTCCTTGGTAAACTTCCTAACTGACCTCCCCTTCCTCTCCCCAGCTTCCCTGGTTTAGTGAAATTATTTAAGGTTGTATCAGAGCCTTGTGGGGCGTTACCTGGTGGTTATGTGGGTCTCTCCCCTGCAGACAGGAGGTACGTGTGTATGAAAGGTCCATGCAGGAATGGGAGCATATGGGTGGAGAAGGAGCTGGTTAAGGGTGGTACAGGACATTTCCCGAATGCGAGCCTGTGTGAATTTTAGGAGGCGAGGAGAGAAAAGAAAAAATAAGGTTATTACTAATATTGGCCCTAAGAGTGGGAGGAGCCATGACACTATAGGATTTTGAAACCTCGTTAGCGGAGAGTTGGAGGCCCCTCTTTTACTAGTAATAACATTCTTCCCTGAGGAACAGGCAGGTACCCCCCATATTCTTTGTAAGTATTTTTGCAGTGATCTAAGTGTTATAGGGCAGCTCCGATATTAAACGGGTTGCCTGGCTGTGGGTCCTCACTGACATTCTTTTTCCCCTAGCATAAGGTTTGATGGTAAAAGAAACATAACCTTATTTTTCTTTTCGCTCCTCGCCTCCTAAAATTTATACTGGCTCTCATTCGGGACATGTCCTGTACCACCTTTAACCAACTCCTTCTCCACCCATATGCTCCCATTCCTGCATGGACCTTTCAGTGTTATTATTAAACTTCTTTTTGACTTTTTCCTCTTGTTAATCTGGCTGATGTTTGCCGATTACTTGGCAGCTTAGCAGAATTCAAAGGGTTAGGGAATAATTTCCTTTGCAACCAACACCTTATGGGTTCTTCACTGAGACACTCCCTGTAATTAAAGACAGATTGACAGGAAAAAAACAAACAGAAGTTAATAATATTTGCACTCCCTGCAGACACAAAAGAGAGACCCAGGAAAATTGAGTAAGTCCCAGAAATGGCGTAAACCATTAATTTTCATCTTTAGCTAATGAGAAAAGATGTTGGGGGCAAAGGGAGTCAGCTGTGGGAGGTTAGTGGACAAGGCACAGCAGACAGAGGTATGGTTGTTTGCAGATTTAAATCTGTTGTCTTCTCACAGAAATGTATTCATTCTTCCTAAGACAGAGAGGAAGATGGCCTTACAAATGATGATTTCCTTATGAATGCAAACATCTTTTACAAAAGGGTAATTTGTAATCAGTTTTCAGAGCTTTTCCTGTCTGTGGTTTCATAGAAAAGAACCGGTTCAGGGCCTCCCCTGGTGGCCCAGCGGTTGAGCACTGGGCTGCGAGGCTGCCCGCAGCCTCTGCAGTGCTGGTTCGATCCCTGGCCACCAGTGAGAGTCCCACAAAAACAAACAAACAAACAAACAAAAAAAAAAAAACACAGGTTCAAAATAATACACCAAAGAGGCATATTTTGGGGTGGTATAGTCTGTTCCCATTTATTATAGATTTATTTCTAAATGGATATAATCTTGTGGTAGCGTAACATAGCCACGCAAGTTTCATATGAAAGTACAATTGTAAAGGAGTTATAAAGATCAATAAACATAGAAATTAAAACTATTGTTCAGGTGGCTCTGGCCCTCCCCACTGTGGTGTGTCTTTTGTGGTACAGCCACAAGAGGCAGCTTTTGGAACACTACGCAGCTGAAAGGCATGGGTGTAGCGCTCCAAATGAGAAAAAGTTAAACAACTCGTGGAAGAGGGAAGAATTGGAAGAAGCAGCACTCATTTTAATTGTGGATGAAAGCTCCTGAAAAGTGACTCAAATTCCTTAAGACAGAAATTTGCCAGGTTGGGGAGGAGGGAGAAACGTCAGGTGTCTAAGGGCACTTGGTTTTGAACTACCTCCAAGGGGGTAGCCAACAGTCAACCGTGGGCCTCTGCAGAGGTGGCAAGCTCCAGCTGGCAGAGGCTAAGTGCAGAAATTTGGAAAGGAGGCATCACAAGACCAGAAACTGGCTCCCATAGGCCTAAAGCTGGAGATGGGGATAGAAGGGATTAACATAGTTGTTAAAGCAGCTACAGAAATGAAAAATCCTTCCACTCCCAACTGCTATGCCCAGTATCAGATGCTATAGAAAAAGTATGTGGCAGCGCAGACCAGAGATGGGCTATGGATGTTGAGGGCCGCTGCAGAGAATCACAGAGCCTTACAACTCGGCCTAGTCTCTCCCTAGAAGTAATTAAACAATAGTTAACAACTCCACAAAGGGATGAACATTTCCAAAGAAAAGGAAATATGGAGATTGAGGACCATTAGAGAATCTCCTCTGGTCGTTTCAGGTTTCACCTGCTTAATCAGGTTAACAAGAGTTATCAACCCCACAGGGATGAAACCCTTCAAAGGAGAAGACTCTATCCAATCCGTGCAATTTCTGTCCTGGCAGCAGGTAGCAGCGCTCCGCCCACCTGCCTGTGCAGGTGCTGCTTTTCACCCTTCTCCCTTTGCAAAGCAGTGGAGGCTCCTCCCAAGGCTGCAGCCTGGGATTATACAGGCCTCTTTTTTAGCAAACCTGTCCCTACTATGGCAGCTCTTTCTGCCCACTTGCGTCTCTGCAAGTGTCCTTTATTCTCTCCCTTTTTATAATAAACCTGTCCTTTTAGATATAACTAAACGTCTCTGCCTGGTGGGGAAACTCATCACGTGCCACTGAAACTCACCACTTATCTCTGGTGACACTTTCCAGAGGTAACCCAAGGATCCCGCTCTCTGAACCCAGCACCTCTCCAAACATACCTCACCCCAGCACCACAGAGTGCCTGTGAGCACGTGGGCAGCCTGGAGGCCACACTGAGCACACCCAGGTGAGTAAATGACACTGAGGCCGAATCACAGCGTCAGGGGCCAGTACATCCAGCCACGGGGCTGATGCGTGCAGACAGGCACCCACCAGAGGAGGCCGAGGATGGCACTGGGATGCCTGGATGAAGTTTTAATTTTTAGCTGAAAGAGTTTCTAACTAAGTTTACTGAGGTTTTCTGGAATTGAATATAGATCATTTTTCTGTTAGGCAGCATAGAATTCAAATTAAATTGTTATGAAAAAGTTACATTTTGGAAGATTAAAATTGTGATGTGAAAATCCCCAAGTGCTACCTAAAGAAAATTAAATCTTTCCCCCACACCTACTACCATAAATAACCATCAGTAATTTTATGTGAACTTTTTAACATTTTTTTTAGATAATAGAAACAAATATGTCATATACACATTCATCTACTGGGTAGTATTTGATAAATATTTATTGAGTGCCTATTTGTTCATGCTCTGTTTTTAGTATTTGAGATGCTGTGGTGAAAAAAATAAGAAAATAATTCCTATGTGCTGATTTGTTCAGGAAGCATCTAAATTAGCACTGCCTTCAAGTCCATTGTTGGATGTGTTTTGACCAAGGAAGGGCAGCCAAACTTAAAATGCAGGAGACTTTTCAGTTCTAGGCTATTTCTAGTAATGTTGGGATTCTATTGCTTTTCCTGAAGGAAAAATAATAGGTAATTTCTCTCACTTTCTTCTTTTTATTAAAAAAAAAAATGTCCTGGGACGGTCCTGTTCTGTTCCTAACAGTGGAAGCCGATGGGGTCAGGTGGTAGGGAGAAGCTGGCATGAAGTGGGAGGCCAAACCTTGGCTGACTCAGACCAGTGACATTGTCAGTTAAGTACCATGTTTGAGGATATTACTTCTCTGGTTACCCATGGGCTTGAATGTCTTAGCTTGTTGGAATTTAATTTTTGTTTAAAAATTCTTATTTTTAATATTTGCTCTTTTTATTTTACATTCAGATTTCCTCAGTGGTTGAGTCAAGTAAAAAAAAAAACAAATCAATTTAAGTTTAAATAATTCTGAAAGTGTTTAGCTTCCAAAAATAAATAAATAAACAGGATGTGTTTATTTTGAGATTTCTTTACTAAAGCTTTGGATATCTACAAGATGAATTTGAAGAAACAAATTTAAATAGAATATATTTAAAGTTGTATTGACTATGCAAGGATACAACAATCTTACGAGCATATAAATGGGCTATCTTGGTATTTCTTGGGTTTCTTTGACAACAAGATGATATGAAAAGTAGAAAAGAATCCAATGCAAAGAAATGATATTTTCTCCTGAAGAAGTCTGTTCTCTAGCGGAATATGTCAAGTTCTAAGTGTCTGTCATTTTAGGCAGAAGTTCCCCTCCGGCTGTTAACAACCCTTTGGAGACCTGTCGAATGAATTCAAAATAATTTTAATATTATGTTGATTCATTCCTTTCAAATTTGTGTTTTCTGTTCTTTGCCGCTCCAAATTTATGTTGTGTGTTCTCATTGTGAACTATTGATTATTTTTCTTGGCAAATGATTTCCCTTGCTCACATCTCACTGTCTTATCACAATTTTAAGTTCTCGATTTATTGATTTATTACTCATTTTATTTAGCTCTATTTAGAAAACACTGAAGAAAACATTCTTCAGCTTCATGGAGTATCTTCTTTCAGAAGTTTCTTATCAGTCCCCTTAAAAATATGTTTCCATGCCCCATGCCTATATGCTGCATGCAGGCACATATTTATTGCAAGATTACATGGTTACCAGTATTTCTTTTCTATTTTGATCGTACTTTCTGGACAGGTCATTCTGGACCTTCTACTTATTCTGATATAGTAGGAGAAGACTCTACTTAAAGTTTTCTCACTCTACCTTGCTTCTTGCTTCTCTTTCATTAATTCATTCAACTGTTCATTAAAGAACCTGGAATTTATTCCAGACAATCAGTCATAACAAAAACAGACAAAATCCTTGTTGTGTACCTCACCATTCATTGGGGTGAAAGAAATAAAAAAAAGACAAGAAAAATGCATCACATTGCAGTGAAAGACCAAAGGAGAAAAATAAAGTAAACCAGACTGAACGTATGGTTGATGCTCAAGGGGAAGCTTGATTCCCCAAGGTGTCTGGAGCAGGCTTTTCCCAAGATGTGTCTCATTGCCACGCACAGCTGAGACCATGTGAGGCCCTGCAGGTTCCACAAGGAACTGTCACCATTACCTTAACTACATCGAAGAATGAGCCCAAAACAGATTTTAAAAAATAATGAACTTACTAAACTTCTTCAAGAAACTTCACGTAAATAATATTTTGCAGAATGTATGATTACAGAGATAGTAAATTCTTTGATGGTTAATGCATTTGTGAAGAGTTTTGATGTTATTCCCTCACTTTTTATGTACTTGCTGCATTATTCATTTACCCAACAAATAAATATTTCAGTGTTTGCAAGATGTTCTGCTACTTGCCACAGTTTTAGGTGATGTGAAGAATTCATATATAAATAAGATTAGGTCCCTAGTCTCAGTACTTTATATTCTAGTGAATGGGAGCAAATTTTGCCAGCCCAAAATATGTTTCTTTGGAATAAGGATTGTGTTAAACTGATTGTTTTCAAGGAAATGACATAGGAAAGGTTCTGAAAACAGAGCAGAAGGAAAAGAGAGAAGGATGGAGGGATGAAAACTCTCATTTGAAAAACAAAATTAATCATTAAATCCTATTTCTCTGGGATAAAATAAGGAAGAAACTGAGATCTTACCGCATTAAAGGGAGATGAAAAATTCACAAGGAAACATGCACACATCATAAGGACTTACTGTAAAGGGGAGGTGCTGGGTTCCCTGCCATCCAGTGAGGGACTGAGTGAGAGGTCAGGTGAAGATGCAGAAGCCTTGGAGGCACGTGGAGAAACACAGGGGGAGACAAGTGAAGAGGAACATGCTTTTGCCCCAGGTTTGAACTTGCCCCAGGGACTTGGGAGACATGGACGGAGACATGTGGATTTGAGACATTGAGAGACACATGGGAGAGACACACAGGAGGATGACCCGGGCAGCTGTATCTTAATTTGTACATTAATTTTTATCGTTTGTCCCAGACTTACCTGGTCTTTTTCTCCCTCTTTCCATGGTTCCCCACTAGAAAGTATATATGTGTATATATATTTCTCCTCTGTAGTTAAAAATAATGCATTTAATTAATTTGGAAATGGCTCGAGTTTTTCCTAATGGCAATTCCTTTTGCATTTTTATTTTGGAAAATTCCTCTATTCTCAGATCCTAAAAGAAAATAGTTTCCTTCTTTCCTACAACTTCAGGGGAAACTATTCTCAAAGGTACAGGGCCATGTTACAGTCCCTAAAACATCCCAAGAATAATCTTCTCCAGTATTGCTTGTAAGTGTCCCGTTATGGTTCTTTTATCTCCTGAGATAGTTAATCATATTCTATCCTTGACTGACCTTAACCTACTTTGTTAGGCCTTGTCCTGCATGGAGAGCATTGCTAATGATTAGAGATAATAATGAAATAATAAGAAGCAAACATATATTGTATATTCAATAAGTTGTAGGCTTTCTCTGTTTTGCACTTCACATAAATGTTATCCTATTTACTTTCACCAAAATACATGGGCAACGATAACTTTACTGATGAGACACCAAGGGATAATGGAATTGAGTAATTTCAAAGGGCAGTTTGGCCTTATGCGGTTAATTGAATGTAATTGCTCTTCTCCACCAGGCTAATGAAATCTTCTCCATCTTGCTCCTGAAGTTCATTCAATCAATGCAAATCTGAAGCCTCCAGAATCCTCGCATTCCTTGACCTTTCAAAGCCCATATTCTGATGAGGTGACCCAAGAATAAAAGGAGGAGAGGATGTTTGTAAACTTGATGCCTGTTTGCTCATGAGAAGTCATGCTGTCTTTGACATCTGATCCACTGCCCCGCTGAATAAAGACACGGGGCTAGAGCACCTGTCCAAGTTTGCTTTGCTTCTTTGGAGGGACTTAGGGAGAGCAAAGCACATCTATTGAAAGTGTGGGTTCCAATCATCTACACTGGTTCCAAGTGGATGCATTCTGTCTTTCAGATTCAATTGGAAAGTTGCGAAAAACTGGTTAAATCTAAAAACCATGAAAACTCCAAATTGAGCTAGTGAGAAGGGAGAGGCATGGCTCTGTATATTTGCCAGCAGGGAACAGTTTTTTCAGCAAAATTTTGCTTTTCTTTTCTGTCTTGGGAAAACAGCGATTGCATCACTGCAAAAAAAGTTGGTCCAACCTAGTGCTCTGAATGGCATTGCTGGGGAAACTTGTCAATAGCAAATCATTCTTCCTTCTTCAGACATCATAAAGTTAAGCATTAGGCAGGAAATGGTGCCATCTACAAACTATCAGCAGCAGCGCTTTGATAATAGCAAAAAAACCTATGGCGATCTTAACTAATATTACTTCAATTAAAAAAAACTCAATAAATTGTGGTACTTGCATTGCAAGAAAAATATGTAACTATTGACAATGAAGTGCCAATAGTAATTAATTTAATGATGATATTACCTAGAAGATGTGTGTAAGGGCCAGACTGGGCACAGGTGCAGGTTTTCTGATCCCATGCAGACCGGGTAAAGGAGGAGTCAGAGTCCTCAGTGGTTTTGCAGGTCTTTTATTGGGGTTCACCAGGCATATGGCAGGCAGGGGTGCTGGCTGGGGGGCTAGGAGGCTGGCAGGCCTCCCAGCCCCCACAAGTCTTTACTCTATCTGGGCTCTTTGGCGTTCTCTGCTTCTGCGTCGGCTTCTCCTTCAGGTTCTGCTGCTGCTGGCTGGGGCTGCTGGCGTCCCCCCGTGACACCGCCCTTAAAAAGCACAGTCTTAGCTCAGCTGAATCCCATCTACCTATGCCCACACCCTATTCCAGGTGCCCGCCATCAGGCATGCATTCAGGACAAGGATCCATCATCTATCCTGATGGCGGAAGGGCAGAAAAGCCTGATATTTTCTTTACCCTACATGTGCATAAACTATTATATCAAAAATTTAGAAGAGGAGGTGAAAGTTTGCTTTGCTTCTTTGGAGGGATTTAGGGAGAGCAAAGCAAGTCTGTTGAAAGTGTGGGTTCCAATCATTTACACTGGTTCTGCTCGGCTTCATTTGTCTACCTTGTGTTAACATACCACATTAAAAAAAAAAAAGAAAAAAAGACTTGTTCCTGATCTCCCGATGGGAGGATCACATGTTCTTTTCGCTTCATTTTATTTTTGTTCTTATGCATTTTCTAATGTTTCCATAACAAGCACTTATTACAGAGATCAGAAGAAAGAGAGGCTCAAACAACAAAAAAGAATAGAATCTGTTCTGTGTCTGCTTTTAATCTTCCAATCTAGTGTCTTCCCAGAGAGGGAAGACACAGCCACTCTGTCCTCGTCTACACCGTGCATTAATGCCACCTGCCAAGCTAATGCAAGGAGATAGGATTCTTCGCCCCCTGCCCCACTTGCCTTTAATTACCCTCCCTTAGCCTGGTGCTGCTCACACCCCCATCCTTCTGCCCTCACACACAGCCCCATAAATCAGTCCACCTGCCTAAGGAACGCTCAGTGCAACCTCGCTAACAGCAGGAGCAGCAGCAACCTTGAAGATGCCAACACTGGGCCTGTCTTTGCTCCCCCAGGAGCGAGCACCAGCCCAGGGGAAGGAGCCTTCTGGGTCAGCTCTGGACGTGCTCTGCGGAAGGACGGGCCACATATTTCAAATAATCACCAAGATCACAGAATATTTTAAGAGCTACCTTCTCTATAGAGATATTTAATTTTTTTTTTTTTTATGGGATGACAAGGGGAATTAAGAAACCAAGCTAAAGTGGAAAGAAAGTGAGCTCTGTGGGGCAAAAATGAATGTAGATACAGGGCTAATGGGTTCGCCTTTCTTTTTTGTTGTAATTAAATCTATCGATTCTTTATCCTTTATCCTCTGCAGAACCAGCATGTTCTTTTAATTCCCAAATCGAAAGAAAACACTTGCTTAGGTAGACATTAATATATATATATTTGCATTTTCTTAGGATACTGTGTTACATTTCCTTCTGAAAATTAGCAAGTCATTGCTTTTGAAGACATACAAATGCTTTTCAACTGATACTTTAGGAAATTCTGTCTACGAGGACAAATGATGTCATTTTCCCTGAGTCTAAGCTTACATAAATCTTTGCTTTAGCTGATTTATGTTCATGGAGAATTTTCTGGGAACAAAATTTCCTCAGCTAAGTTCTGATGGCATTTGAAATATCTTGAGGATCCTGCCTGAGATTTCGTGAAGGCTCTGGAGGAAGTTGGTACTGGAGCGATTATTGCCTGTAGGGATTGTAGGTCCCCTGTTCCGGTATTTAACTAAATATGGGTGGATGGCTGATTTTTTTTTACATGAAAGTGTTGCATCCTTCCTCCTCTCTTGCCTGTAGAAGATTCATGTAACCTTAATTTTGTTTTTATTTCCAAATATGTCTCATTAATATATTAGCTAATTAAAGCACACAGCTAATATAGAACAGTGGATAATATCCCCAATATAAATGTGATTACCATTTAATGAGTTTGATTTAAGTCTCTGGCCCTATTTCATTTAAATTTTCAGTCTATTTGTAAATGAATGAAAAGACATTTGGTGAAATTAATTCATTTGCAATTTTGCACAGCTGGCGCATGGAAGAAGGAAAACTACAGTTCAAATCAGTTTGAATTTGAGCCCATTTATTTCACCCTCACTCTATAGGAGCTGTTTAAATTTATACCATATTCAAATTTTTGATCTGCATAACATTCTTGGGATAGAAAACATGTCAAAGGCCACAATTCACTCTGAGTAAAAAGTAGAAAGTCGAATTTGGGGATTGGGAACCATTAATGGGAATCTATTTATCTGTCTTCCCCTTTTTTATTATGCCCCATGTGGACTGTCCTTTGTGGTCCATGTGACAATGAGTGCAACTCAGATAACCTCAGAGAAATGTCATTATATATGTATGTGTACACACACACACACACACACACACACACACACACACATGCAATAATCTCTATAAACTTGCTGGGCCAGAGCCCCTCACTGCCTATTAAACCAGCAATAGCAAGGATAGATGGTTGAATATAATGTTTTTTTTTTTCTTAAACAAAAGTAATGATCAATGAAGCATGTCTTCAGTTTGACCAGAGCTCGGGAGGGCTGAGTGTCCTCATGACCACGGCTGAGTGATGGCCCTGGAGGGGACGAGCCACTTCCTAAGTGGCTGGACCTGGCTCTTAAACTAGGACAAGCAGGTGGATCATGATTGAGCTCTGGGAGCCAGTGCTGGTGATCCTGTCCATACTGGACTCTCCTTTCAAGCCTGCCTAAGGGCTGCGAGGGCGTCTTCATAGCCTGGCGACTCTGTTTAAAGTATCAGCCTCCCAAGAAAGCAAACTGAATGCGACTTCAGTCTCGTCCTCCGAAGTCACGTAGTGTCACCTCTGCACCGCAGGGGTATGGCCACCGGATTCTAGGAGAGGGATGAGGGATGCCGTGGGTGTAGGGAGCATGTGCAGATAAAATTACATAAGAGATTTTGCTACCTGTTCTGATTGAGCTTTAAAAAGGAAATAAAAGCAATGGTTGCCACAATCTAGCACTGACTTTATTTTCAACCCCAGCCCTATTAAAAGCGAGCTCTCCTGGGTACACCTCTAGAAGTTTATGTATTTTAAATGCATCCAGTTGGAAGGTGAAGGTTTTTATGTTCTCAACAGGATGTGTGTTACTTCTTTAAGGAATTGTCCTGGTGGACTGTAGAATTTTATTTCTGAAAATGTTACTGAAAATTATAATTTTTTTTTCTTTTCAGGCCAGCATTGAACTGATTTCAAACTGATTTCATTATGCTCTGCTCAGCACCCGACACACTGCTTTGCACACCTGGGTGCTTAATAATGTGATTCGATGATGAATTTCTATTATAAACCCTTCATGGGATTCAAAAATATTTCACTGTGTGATCTGGGTTACAGCATTTGACTAAAGTCTTTTTTCTCATATTCACCTAATAAATATTTATGGAGGATTCCCAAGGTCATAGTTTTTTAATTATCAGCTTTGGGAGCAGGATGGAGGGAATCTAATAAATACCTGATCTTTTTTATTTTTTATTTTTTTTGGGGGAGCAGTTACATAAGGGCTAAGGCAGATGATGTAATTTAAATCTATTTATTCAACTTAAATACACACAAGGCTGTGCATCAAGACCATACACTTGGCCTTTGAAAGAAGGGACAGTGTGTGTTTGTCTCTTTAGAATACAAGTCAAACACACAAGTGGTCAATTCAGCGAGAGCTGGTGCACAAATTGCCAAATCCTGCCTGTGAATATCTTTCTGTCTCACTTACAGGGAATTCTGGTCACAGTTATGCCTCTGAGAGCATTTTAAAATTCTGAAAACCACCTCAAGATTATAAAATTATTGTGATCTCTTGGAAAGTTTAATTTTATATTATTTATTTGTTTAAAATGAATCTGGCAGCAAGATGAAACAATGCTGACTTCTAAGAGAAGGCTTTTGTGTTTAAATAACCACTTCCATTGCTATTTTAAATGCTTGCTTCTCAAGGATCACATAGAGACCAGTCCTGCTGAGGCCACTGAGAGTGACAGGACTGTTGTAAATTATTCTCTGTTTAGTGGATGATTTTGTAACCCGCACACCTGCTTCCTTGCACGTGTGAACCTGAAGGCAAGTAGGCTACATTTCTTTACTAGAGATTGAATATTTCCATTTTCACCATCTGAGGCAGAGGCTCACCCTCTACTCCCCAAGTCAGTGTTATATTCTGAATTCTAATGGATTCTATATATATAGAGAGAATTATATCTATATATGGAGTTATATATAGATATATAAACACAAATATGATCTGCTTATATCTATATATAGAATATACTTATACTTTTGGTAAAGATTTATTTATTTATGAGTATAAAAATTGGGGTACAAGCCAGAGGTGCAGGGGCTGAGAGGATTCACCAGAGACAGAGTGGGCAACAGATCAGGCAACTGACTGAAATACACTGCTGAGGGGAGCAGTGGGCGAGGCAGGAGAGGTCTGCTGCACCCTGTGGGTCAGCTCCCTGGCCAGGCATCAAACTCGCACTGCAGTAGCTGTGGACAGCCTCACAGTGCTGTGTTTAACCCCTTGCACCACCAGGGAGTCCCAGAATATATATA